GGGGGGGGGGGGGGGGGGGGGGGGGGGGGGGATAAAAAGGATAGAATTTTTCTTTAGAGCCATAAAAGAAAGAAATAAAGAAAATGAAATTTTTTTGCTTAATATTGTGTGGTTTGTATCCAATTCATGTAATAGGAGTTGACCAAAAAAAAAATGCATATATGATTATTATTATTTTTTTGAAACACCTTTGTATCTATTTGTAGTATTTTTCTCTCGTTTTATGCAAATGAACCAGATTAGTAGACCATAACGTAAATAAGTAAAAAAAAAAAAATAGACATAGGTCTTCGTGTCAGTCTCACGATTGCTAAGTATTTAATCTAATTTTCAATTAATCTTACAATAATTGATAACATAATTCGGATGATATTTAATATATTTACTAATTAAACGTAAAATTAACCTAATTACCAAAGTAATTAACTAATTAATTGGTTGAGAAACGTTTACTAACACACAAATAATTGATAGTATCGGGATTTCTAATCCCCCTATATTATTCTATTCTTAGTATCAATCACATTATTTGATAGCATTTATTCAGACTTGAAGACTAATGTTCCTATTTTATCATTTAATCTCTCTTGAATAAAATTAAATCCATCTACACATATGACCCATAATATCTCTATATAGATACAAACATATGAACATACTTAAGATTACAAGAATATTCAATGAAATATTATGAAGCATTGACAATTAATTCTAACATCTATAGGACTTTACAACGTTTACTACTTATGTTGAATTCTTATTCCTTCTCTCGAATATCAATTGAAATTATAAACCTAATCAATTAGCGGCCAATTAATTGAAAAACATTGAACTCCTAACAAGTATTCAACCAAATAAATATTTCAAAACACTAAAATTAATAATAAATTTAAAATATAGGGTTCAGTATTATCCTAACATCTATACAATTAGTTAAGCATCATAATACTAATAAAACGCGAATATTGACTTGATACAAGATCAACCTGATTGAAATTTGGGAAGAAAGATAATCTTAAATTCTTTGAATGTTTTTGAATAATTTCCTCAATTTCTTCTTCTTCATCCCAAGCAAACATCTATGAATTTTTGTATGGAGCGGATGTTTCATATCAAAGACTTCTTCAAAACTTGTAAAAAAGTAAGATTGCATGTGCGAAAGAAATTATTCGTGATTCTAACTACACATTGACTTTATCACATTCTACACTCATTGTGAGTGTTCCTACACTATAACAAGCAATTAACTTCTTAAATGGTGATCAAGCAATAAATAGTACAATGGGTATGTAAAACCAATCTAACAATAACATGAAAGTCATAAATTAAAGTCTCGAATTGATCAATTGGAAGCTTGACCTGAGAGCTTTGGAGACATAGATTTGGCAGCATCTAATTAAACATATGCGATCGTAGAGGTATAATTTTTCCTACTAGACAATCTTCAATATTTTTGTCATACTTTCTCTTTTAATATCGGATTGAAGTGATTCAAAGTACTTTAAAAAACTAATTTAAAGGGTTACAATTCTTTCAAAAAAACATCTTTTCAATTCTACTCTTGCTATACCAAAACTGGGTCTCAAATTGAGACTGAAAATTCGAATCACAACTTTTTTTGCTTGAAAGTTGATATGTGATAATATTTTGACTATATTTCATCCATTTGACTTCTTTTCTCATCCACTTGAACATAACACTCTCGAATATTTATCGTGAGGTTCGACACAATTTTTTGAGTATTTGCACTTTAGTCCCCATACTTTAGATTTGCTTCATTTTAGCCTTTTTCTCTTGTAATTTGTTCTTTTATCTTTCAATTGTTTTCAATTAAATTCTTGGCATCTTCGATATTCAATTTATTGTCTGTCTCATCTTAGATTGTTTGCAATTTAGTCCCCAAATTTTGGACTTCTCCATTTTTCACTATTTTTGCATTCTTTTCTGAAAGTCTTTATCAAACATCAAGTGTTACATACAAAAGACAATATAACACAAGTTAGGTAGTATTTTATCTAAAGAACCATAAAATATCATATTTTAGCACCTCGAAAAAGTGTAAAAACTACACTTGTCAACCTCTTTCTCCATTTTCCATTTTGAACCCTAAATTCCTCTTTGTTTCAGTTCGATTTCCTTCCTATGAGCAACTTTGGTCCTTCATCTTTGAATCTTTATAGTTTGGTTTTTATCCTCTACAATCATCATTAATGGATTTGATGCAAGATCCATAAATTTGTAATTATGTCTCCAAACGTTTCAAATGTTGTATTTAACTCATGAAATATATGAATTTCCTCTAATTATTCTATTAATTCATGATATTGATCAAATACAATCTGGTTGAACTTCATTGCTCCTAATAAACTCCATTTAAGCTCCAAATTGCATTTCTTAGCATCTTATACATTCACGTGGGGAATTTTTTCAACATTTAATATATTTATACTAAACTAGGTAGACATCCGCTCAATTAACCATAATCAATTTGTGTTGCCATTTTTCTCCGCTTCACTATATTACTATCTGTAGTAACTTTTATCGAATGACAATGTTGATTAATCGTAATTAGTTATTTACTACTGCACACATGGTTAGTTTCCTCTTTTGTTCAACTTTTTTTTTTCTCTTGCCCTTGTTGTATCATATTACAAAGTACAAATCTAAATATTTTTCATGAAAGTATTTATTCCTTTCGGGTGATTTAAAAACTTATCCATCTCCCCCATGATCTAGAAATATTTCCTACTTTTTTAGTTTAATTGTTTTCTATAAGAAAGGATAATAGCAGTTAATTTATTACCATTAAATTTAAACAGAAAGTTGGACAAGAGCTATAACAAGAAAAGAAACTAAAAGTAAATCTAAAAAAGTAACTTGAAACAGCATTTCTCCTTAGTTCCCCAAGGACTTGTATTTTTAAGTCAAACCACCCTGAGAGTGGAGTATTTATTAATTGAAAATAAAATACAAGCTTAGGAGGGGATATTTGACCCAACCTCCAGTCAAGGAAGTTGGACTACAGAAATAAAACTACATTGTTAAAAAGTTAAAGATTTAAATTTTATAGCTTATTTGTGTAATCATACTACTAGTCATATAGTGACGTGTGGAATGTTTTATTAGTTCATCTGAGGACTATTCATGCTCCAAGCATCCAATTTCTCAATTATGATGGTTTCAGTGCCATTGTTGAATGCATGCAAATGAGCATTCTCATAAATTGCCAGGGTAGGATAAACCCTAGATGTAATGCATGTCTTTCCTCCAGCGCCAAAGCTTTCCACTACTGAATGATCAATCTGCAAAATGGCAGCCTTTTTTAACAAAAAATCCTCTGCAAGAAATAAACAGTAGGGTAAAGTGTAAACAGTTAATCAAAATGTTTATAGACATACCAAACTCCTAAGAGAAAGCTTTTTGTCTGTTAGGTCTACATCAACAAATCCTGCAAATGAGGGCTTGTACAATTCTTCCCTTAATGACGAACTGTTGAAATAATATAGAAAAATAAAGTTAGAGACAAACTGCAAGAGCGAACTCAAATTACTCCCTTTCATTCCAAAGAAATTTGAGATTCAGGTCAATTAATATTTTTTTTTGGTCATCGTTTTCCATTCATCGAGCTTCAAATATTCAATGGTAGAGATATATTTCTACCAAATCTAGATTGCAACTACTACTTATTTTTCTTGCTACTAGCAAAGATTCGGTTTCTGTTTGGTAGGAATACTAATTTTACCCTTTGCTATTTCGAACGTGCAAATATATAAACAAACCTTGATGCATCAGAGCACATGAGAACGACATGCTTGGAATTAGCTTTGAAAATTCTAAAGAAGACAGGAGTGTATTCTTTTAGATCTTGTGAAGCCAATGTCAAGAGCCCAAATGGTCCAACCCCACCTTGAACAGTAGAACCCTTTTGGCTACAAAGCTTTTGTGTGTCAAGTTCATCCCAACTGAAATCATATTTTTCGGCCTTGTCCAAGCTCTGGAAAGAGAACGTTACTTCAACATCAGCCTGCAATCATATACAATCCATGAAAACTTTGTTTCATTAATTTTGTTGCATAATATTAGAGTGAAAAGTGCACAAATCTAATTGAATTGTTTGGGAGGAAACGTACTTGTGCAGCTGCTATTCCTTTAACTTCAACATGCTCTCCCTTCTTGAGCTTTTTTTTGTGCAACTCTACTTTTTTCCTTCTTAGAGTTTCTAATTCTTCGATAGGCCATTGCAGCAACTGTCTTCCATTAGGATCGATCAAAATTGTTCGTGGAATTGTCTAAAAAAATTCATAACATAAAAAAAAATTATTTTAATTCAAAAAATCAGGAATAAATTCCCATAACAAAAAAATAAATAAATAAATAAATAAAAGATTTAAATGCAAAGAAACAGGAACTCCGTCTAATTTCATTAAATCAAGTATATTTGATACTTAAAAGTACTAGAAAATGGAATTTTAGTTCATTTTCTTAGTTTTGTCAGAGTCCAACATTAACATGCTAACTACGAAAAATTCCTTTTAATGACATTTTTTTTTTTCCTTTTTGAGGCCTTCAGATCTTCTCCAATGAACCATTTTTTGATGAAACAGCCCAAAAATGACTTTTTATGTCAGCATTTTGTTGTTAAAAGTGAAACTACTAGTAGAGTAATATTCTACCTGAATTCCAGCCCAACCCTTTTCCACATCGTCAAGGGTAGTGTCAGACTCATTAGCCCAAGCCCACGTGATCCTTCGTTTCTTGATAGGGTCGAAGAATGATTTCGAGGCATAAAAATTACCATAGTCATACCTTAATCCCCTCAAACCATCAACCATGTTCTTATCAGGAATATACCTTTCCAGTTGAGGGAAATATGTACCAAGTGTATAGTAATCATACCTACTACCATCAAGGCTAACCTTCAAAACATGCTTAATATTATTTCTCTCCATTAAAGAGGTATCCAAGCCATTTGTAGCATGCAATGATACTGGAAAAAAATCAGGGCATTCCCAATTTCCAGTATTGGCAGAAGAATGCAATGGATGTTTGGCCTTTACCCAATTCATGAAATCCCTGCTCCTGTATAAATAAACAATTCCTCTATGCTTTCTCCTACTTCCCACCAATATTTTCCAGAGCCCATCCAGGCCCAACCAAGCAGTTGTTGGGTCACGGAATGCAGTCGTGTTCATAGACTTGTCCGCAACTATTAACGGGTTGTTATCTGGCTTGATCCACTTCCGTAGGTATGGATCAGAATAGTCTGCTGGAACCGCATAGTTCTGGACCTCTGTGATATTTTCATCTACAACTCCAGTGTATAGAATAATAGGTTTGTTGCCTGGGAGGACAGTGGCTGATCCAGACCAGCAGCCATATTTATCAAATATCTTTGATGGGAAAATTGCAGGCTCTAATTTTTTCCAGTTAATCAAGTCTTTTGATACCGAATGACCCCAAGCAATATTGCCCCACACAGCACCTTCGGGGTTGTACTGATAGAAGAGATGATAGAATCCATTGTAATATATAGGTCCTGTTAACAATATGGTTAAGTATTAATTGGCTTCATGTATAACAGTTAGATGCACCATTTTTTTAAGTTAAAAGAAAAAATGAAGTTCATTGCTTACCGTTTGGATCTGTTGTAGCATCCCATAGGGAACATGCGGAAAGGAAAGAAATGAATTCATTAGTAAAAAGAAGTTAATAACACTACAAATCAAAAAATTTTAGATGGCATTATCTATTGCGTTATTATCTGAGTATTCCTAATTTAATTATTTTTAATATATTATTAATTCATAATAGCATTTTTTTATTAAATATTGAGTTCATAAACATAATAAATTTTTATATAATGTTTCTACAACATTTCTTGTCCTACTTTTTCCCCGAAACAGCATTTTCATGAGTTATTTCATATAATGATGCGAATTTCTGTCTCCCTTTCCATCAACAAAAATTAGTAGATAATGAGAAGATCCACTTTAGGGAAGCATAACATAAACAAAGATATCTGCTCTCCACAAACTGTCTGTAAAGGAACAAGGAAGTGTTTAACCGTGTTACCAAAATTGACTAATTTTGATGGCGATAGCCAGAATACATAAACAAATTCAAATATATACTCTGTTGCGTCTTTAAGCATAATTTAATCAATCGAACTCATTATTAATATGCAGCCATGAATGCTGATAAAGAATAAGGCACATGAAAATAACCTTTCGTTGCACTTAATGGGCAAGTTTTATGTATATTTAATGTATGATAAAATTTTAATTTTGGTATTAGTAAAACATGCAACATAGAGTAGGTGTTTAAAATAAAGATATGCATGCTAAAGAACGTAAGTACCGTTGATCCAATTCCTCTCCAACTGAAAATGGGGGGGGGGGGTTGCAAAATCTAGTTGCATGGGTACAACTCAATGGAAAATAAACATTAATTCCTCCATACGGCAACTTGTGGAGGTAGGGTGGGAACACAATTGGAATCGGAAAGATGTAGGGGCATAGAGCTGCACGACCTACCTCATTTTATTTTCGTGTAACTTTAACTCTTGAATTGTTATATTTCGAGAACTATATTATAATATTATAAAAATCTCTATAGTATGAATGCATATAACAAGCACCCAACACTTGGAAACACGGTGCAATATATTTGTTGTTGTTTTATTAAACCATCATAATTGTTATGTCTTAGTAAATTTGTCATGTCTTTGTGAATCGTTTGACATATGAGTCCTATAAAAAAATGTCATAATCGATTTTCATTTTATATGACTAATATACGTTTTATATTTAGTAATGATGTTCATTTAGTTTAAAAACTAATCAATATATTCACTTTTAGAAGGAAAAAATTAATGTAGCAAGTAATAATTTTTTGTCCGTTTTATAGTATGTGAGTCTGGGCAATTTCCGATAGCAATATCTTGATGATATTGTCGATTAACATCACAAATTTTCAGTTGCTGATTGCAGACGAAATTTTTGTGTGTCAGTGATGAATAATTGTTTATATTTCATAATTATGATCAATATACTCACTCTTTTGTCTATAAGAAAGTTGTGTCTCATATTTCGTAATATTTTTTATTTAGTTCAAGAAACTTAATGACCTTAGACAAAATCGTTCGGCAACCTTTCGAGAATGAAAATTTAAAATTTAATGTAGCGAACGATCATTTTACATTAGTGATTCTGCTGGAAAAAAATTTTCCTGCCAAATCAAGCAAAATTATCATCATAATTCAATCAATGCAATCAATCAATAGCAATGCCGTCGATGATATTGCCAACAACCATCGATAATCTTTCAGTTATTGATAGTTGATGGAAAATTTTCATCTGTTGGTGATGTTTTAAAATCCAAAATAAAACAGCTTCAGCAATGCAACGTTATCATTATGACCTCTTCCAAATAACAAATTCAATGTTGTTATAGATTATAGCTAACGATTAGTTAAGCTTTTGACAGAACTGATTTTTTTAGTTGAAAATTCAAATTGAATAGTTAATAAAGGGAGCATAGCGATAGGATTATTAGATAGATATTTTAAATCCAATGTTGGTTTAGCAATAAATATAAATTTACAACTCTGTTTTTGGATGCCAGACCTTCATAAAATCATGAGTAAACAAATTTCTTTTACGCCGAAATCAAATTCATAAACAACCAGCAAAAAGGAATTAGGTATAATAATGCAAAATTATTATTCCATTTACTTAATTTAATAATCAGGATGATATTTTCCCTCATACCAAAAAATTCTATACTTTGTTCAATAATGCAATTACAATAGCCATTTCAAGAAGAAAAAGGGGCCTCAAAAATTTCCAAGGAATGATAATCACTTGGTGTAAGTGGTTTCTGATTATCTTATTTTTAGGATATTTATTTTCAGTTTTACAGTAAGATTTTATTTTTATTTATTATTTTAGTTCGAATAATTCAATAGTCATAGGAGTCGTGGGAGGTACGTTAAAGAGTGTAAAAGAGGGGAAAGGGAAGAAGAAGAGGAAGGTATTTAGTATTTCTATGATTTTTAGAGGTTTGATTGCCTTGAAGATCAAGACTCCCTAGTACGAGCTTATTTCACTTTTGTTAGGTAGTGCTAGGTAATGTATACTCTTTCACGTAATACAAAGTTTAAATGTTTTACGAACTTTCTATTTATAATTTGATTAAGTAATGCAATAAATATGATGTAAAAATAAGTATACAGCTTGGCTCTTGCATGTTAAAAGTAAAATGCAGTGTTTTGAGCTCAGTTGAATTCAAAAGCAAAAAGATTTTCTTCATCAGTAATCTGAACAATATTATCAACTTATAAGTTATAAGTACATATTTTACAAAAATAGTGCCTATTAACACTTAAGAAAGGTCTACAAACACATCATAATATTGACAAAATTGAAAAATGCAACAAGAACATTGTTGAACAAGTTAGTCTGAAAGTTTAAAATGTTAAATAGGAATAGCTATTTAACATATTAGTGTCTTCAACAAAAAACACCATGGTTATTTCATGACCTATATATTCTGTCACTATTTTTGCCAATTTCTCTTTTCTTTTCTTTTCTTTTCTTTTCTTTTCTTTTTTTTTTCTGTTTGATTGTTTTCTTTGTGCTTGTGT